CTCCTCTTCTTCTTCTTCTTCTTCTTCTTCTTCTTCTTCTTCTTCTTCTTCTTCTTCTTCCTGTCTTTCTTTCTTGAGCTCCAGCAGAGCCAGAACAAAAGTAGTTAGGTCTGGGAGGAGCATAACCATCGAGGGGACCAGACAGGCCAGGGAAGCTGCCTGCCTTGGAGAGGCAGGAGTCTCCTGAGCTAAAGACTATAGCAACTGAACTCCCCTCACAGGGCTGGTTGGTTGTGTGCACAAGGAGCAGGTGAAGTAACCCTGTGGCCACAGTTGTGCACTCTCCCATAGAGTTTACACAGACTGCAGAATGCACGCCTTGCTCTGCTTAATGGGAAGGATGCTGCCAGGTCTGCCCTCAGCATCCTTAGACTTCTGCTCTGTGCTGGGAGTGGTGAGGCGTCACCTCAGCTGGCTCTTCAGCAGCACCATGTCACCTTGTCAATGCTCAACTCCCCTCCTAGACACCCTGCCTTGCCACTGGCTGATTGACACTGGTCTTTAAAGGCTTGGAATCCCTTTGCCAACTTGACCAAAAGCTTTCCTGCCTCTCAGACCTCCTCACAAGTTGACCTGTACTTTCTCAGTGCCTACACCACTGCCCACTCCTCTGTCCCTTTCTTCCAGAGCCTTTCACAGGTCCTGTGCCAATCTGCATCTGCCCTTGCTCCGGGCATCCTACCTGAAACACTGCATTGTCACTTAAATCTGTTTATTTTGAGTCAGGTCCTCAGGTAGCCCTGAGTGAACTTGCTGTGTAGCCAAGGATAAACTTGACCTCCCCATTCTCCTGCTCCAAGTTCTAGGGTGATAGTCAGGCACCATCATGCCTGGTTTTCTCCTTACTTACCTGATAACTGTGAACAGCCTGTAGCTATTGATATTTCACAGCTCATGTAATGACAGGTGGATTTATTCACTTTAAGTTTTTCTCTATTTGGAATCCAGCACACATCTTTTGGGAATTGGGTGTCCACTTCCAGCCTGAGTTTGGGTCTCAAACTCAGGTTCTCAGTCTTGGTGACAAGTGTCCTTACCAGCTGAAGCATCTTGCTGTCCTGTGACAGCTATTTTAAAAATGTGTTTGATGAATACATCGAGTTCTTAGCAGTGAGTGTGGTATGTTGGGAAGCCGAGAGTGTGGGGGTAACACGGGCCTGGGGCTCCCCTTTCCCTTCCCTCACTCTGAAGTCTTCCTTCATGCCCAGCTTTCCCATCCCCGACCCTGACCAGGCTCCTGCAGCCCCCTTGCTCTTCCGTTCCTGAGAATAAATCCTGACCATCTCCTTTCCTCTCGTGGCCTCTGCTCCACATGGGACAGGTGGGCTGGTCAGAAGATCTGAAGGGTCTCATCCGAGGGCAAGCTGGGCTTGGAGATCCAGCCAGGTCTCCAAAGGGCTCTAATTCTGTCACCCACCTTCAGTGGGTACCTCTTGGGAGAAGAACAGAGTCTTTATGCTAAAGAGGAAGTGAGAGAATGGGGGAGGGGAGGAGAAATGAGCATTCTCTTACTTCACTTTCCTCTTGGGCTTCCTCAGACCTCCTCAGCCCTGGCCTTATGAAGCAGGGGATCAGAGTCTCTGAGAGCCTTTATCTAGTTCAGTACAGGGCCTAGATTCAAAGCCTGTAGCTGGGGGATCCACAGGACCACACAGGCCTTGCCCAGCTTCCCTCTTGTCCACAGAGGTCTCTGCCTTCCTCAGCAGTTCATGCAGGACTGTCTGTGGTGACTCCTGAATCCTCCCCAGGACAGCTCTCCTCTCTTCAGAGCATCCCTCCCCATCCCAGCTCAGGAGGAGGACTGACTGATGGCTGGCAAGGCTGCATACCTGTTCTCCGCAATCCTGCTGCTGCTCCTGGCCTCAGGTGAGGACAGGGAACAAGGACAGAGGGAAGGAACCAGGTTGAAGAGGGGGCAGGGGGCAGGAGGTATGCACAGTGGAGCTCTGTGCTTGGGAAGGCAGAATACATGGGGCACTGTGGCCAGCTGCTGGCTGTAAGCATAGACACAAAGAGGGTCACTCCCTGAGAAGGGAACCCACTTCCTCCCGCTGCTGCAGAGGATGGGGCTCTCTGACATGATGCGTGTATTCCCAGGCTCCTGGGCACAGGACCCACAGGTACTTCGAGCACTGGAGGGCCAGACTGTTTCTGTGAAATGCCGGTATAATCTCAGCTACAGCTTCAATGAGAAGTTCTGGTGTAAGCAAATATCAGAAGACACTTGTCAACCCTTAGTGCCGGGTGTCAGCACAGGTGCCGAGAAGCTAAGATTCTCCATCGAGAACTATCCTTTGTTCAGCTTCTTCACTGTCATCATGAATGAGCTCAAGATGAGCAACTCAGGCGTCTATCACTGTGGGATCGTTGAAAATCGCAGAAAGATCGCTTTTCTCGGAAGCATCCATCTGGTGGTGTTAAAAGGTGAGCGTCCCCCTTCTATGTGGCTTTCAAGCCTTCCTGAGTTACAAGGTTCCAGATTGGAGAGGACTCAAGGAACTGCTTCCTCTAGTAGAGGGGTTCTCACCCTGTCAGTTGTGACCCCCATAGGGGTCACATATCAGGTATCCTGCTTATGTGATATTTACATTATGATGAATAATAGTTACAAAATTACAGTTACAGAGTAGCAACAAAATAATTTTGTGTTTGGAGCCACCACGGAATGAGGAACTGTATAAAGCGTCACAGCATTAGGAAGGGTAGCTGCTCTTGTAGCTGAAAACTGGGGCAAAGAAAAATGGCCCCTCCCCCAAGGCCACCAGCTGGTTAAAGCCAGAGCCCAGCTGAGACCCCAGGCTGGCCGGCCTCTGGTTCTTAGTGGTTTCTCTGAACACTTTTGCTGCGTTGCTGCTAACAGAAATCTGTTTCTTTGGATGGATCTTAAAGCTCCCCTAAGCATTCACAGCCCTCCTTTCCTCAACATTCCTTGCCTGTAATGCATCAGAATCGTTTTCTCCAGGGGCGGTGGAGAGATCGCATAGCCAATGGGCGGGCGGGGTGCTGAGAGATGTGGATCCAGAGGAGACCCATAGAAAGTGAGGCCAACTGATGTGAGTTCTCTTCCGGGTTCTACCCTTGACAAGGGAGAGCCTTTGCACTCTCAAACAGTAGTCCAGAGGCTACTGCTGCTGGCCTCTAGTCTCCTGTGTATTCCGTGTGGAAGTCTCCAGTGGCTTAAGGCTTTCTGCATTCGAACTTGACGTTCATCAGTTCACAACCCCAGTCACAGGGCTTTTCCTGCTACAGCGCATGCCCCGAACTTTTGTTCTACGGGTAGCGGCTATTTTTCTGAAAGTTTTTGCCCAGGCATATCTCATGTAGAGGAGGCAGTAGGAGTGGAGCTTTCTACGTGTTCAAACATAGTGGACACAGGACTGGGGAGATGACCCAGACAGTAAAATGCTTGCCACGTATGGTGGTAAGTTTTAGTTGTCAAAGTGTCGGAACCTAGAAAGATCGGGAGGGCGAGCCTCTCAGCACAGCTGTGAAAGATTATCTTGGCTTGAGATGGGAGGACCCATCTTAAAACTGGGTGGCACCATTCCCTAAGCTTGAAGTCTTGATACAGCTGCAGCCAGCTGCTTCAAGCTTCCGTAGCCTTGACTTTTGTAGCCTTCCTGGGCTGGGCTGGACTCTGAACCGCGTACACTTTCTCTCATTGTCGCTTTAGACAGGGTGTCTTATCACAGTAATGTAACAAGTATCTGAGAAACTGTGCAAGTCTGAAGACCCTAGTTCAATTCCCCAAAGGTACATTAAAGAAAAGGCTGGTCACGGAGGCTCCTGCTTGCAATCCCAGCGCTGGAGAGGCAGAGACAGGATGATCTTTGAGGCTCACTGGCTAGGTCCAGGCTAGTGAGAAACCCAGTCTCAAAAACTAAACAAAATAAAAATGAAGTGAATTACACCTGAGCCATGCCAGCTAAAATTATCCTTTAGCCTCCCTTCACAGGCACACATACACTTGCACACACACAAACATGCAGATACATGTACATGAAGACACGTCTTACAAAAGAACACCAGGGGCTGGTCAGATTGCTCAGTGGTTAAGGGTGCTTGCTGGCCTGACAGAGGACCTGAGTTGGGTTCCCAAGGATCCTTGTCAGGAAGCTCACCACAGACTGTAACTCCAAGCTCCAGGGCTTCTGGTCTCCCTGGGGACTGCATTCATGTGCACATATCACCCCTGCCACATATGCACAACTAAAAATACTAAAAATCGTAAGATGAAAGAACACAGGAAACAGAAGAGGCCCTGGAATATGAGAGGCCTCATTTACAGTAACATGTACTACTGTGCTTTCTCTTGGGAGGTAACCCCTGCCCCATTTACGACACAGCATTGCATTTTTGTGCAGAGAGAGTAGACGGTGTTACTCCGAGTCCTTGTTTGCTGGCTCCAGGGGCATGTATGGGTTCCTCCTCTTCCAGGGCTGGAGAGCGGTGGGTTGGGGAGGTGAAAAGATGCTGTACTCACTGTCGTCTCTTACAGCTTCAGCCCCACACACAACCACACGGACGACAGCAGCCCTGGCCTCTACCCTCAGCCCTGTCACTGACAGGTACTACAGCTCCCTGGCCTGTCCTCTGTCTTGGGTTTCCTCCCATTCTCCTAACTATAGTTCTCCAACTGTCACTCCGATAGATGCCACCTCTGACAGGATGGATGGAGTCATGTGATCACTTCTGATCATTTTATATAGGCTCAGTTTTCCCATCTGTGAAATGAGATCACAACAATATTTCCATATTTGTCTGTCTATCAATCTATTTATCAACCTATCTTCTATCATCTATCTATCTATCTATCTATCTATCATCTATCTATCATCTATCTATCATCTATCTATCTATCATCTATCTATCTATCATCTATCTATCAATCATCTATCTATCATCTATCATCTATCTATCTATCAATCTATCTATCTGTTGGTCTGTCTGTCTATCTATCTATCTTCTGTCTATCTACCTATTATCTATCTATCTATCTATCATCTATCTATCATCTATCTATCATCTATCTATCTATCTATCTATCTATCTATCTATCTATCATCTATCTATCTTCTACTTATCTTCTATGATGCAGGTTGAACCTGAGACCTGACATTTTGGGGGCAGGAGCTTTATGACTGTACTACACTCCCAGCTTTCCGGTTTTTGCTTTTGAGATTGAGATCTCACTGAGTAACCCAAGCTGGCCTTTAATTCACTCTATCACACAAGCTGACCTTGAACTTTTGGTCCTCCTACTTCAGCCTCCTGTATCTGGGGTGATGGGCCTGTGCCTCTAGCCCAGGCTCTTGCTATTTGCAGCTGGCTAATTCTTTGTCACTGGAGGCTGGTCTGTATCTTTTAAGAGATTTAGCAGTGTCCTTGGCCTCGGATGGCCAATGGCATGAGTGCCCTTCTGAACACATATGTGGCCATTGAAAATGTCACCAGACACTACTAGATGTGTTTTGAAGGACACAGTTATCCTCCATTCATTACCGTCTCCTGGGGTACAGTGAGGGTGGACTGCGGTGCGGATGGCAGGGATCTCCCCCACCCCCGCTTACTCTGGTGTAGGCAGCCATGTGACTACATTGCTGTCTTTACCTTCTTCCAGCCCTGTCTTGTCCTTCAGTATGAGCAGGGCTATTGACAGGAAGCCGTGTTGAGTCTGGAGAAAGGGCACTACCTGCCGTTCTTGACCTCACGGCCAGGAATCTTTCCCTGCCTGCTGATGGGCTTCCAGGCCCTGGGCCCTTGGCCTCTGCCACCTACTTCACCCCAAACCCAGCCTCCATGAAGACAGTGGGCCCTAGGCTCCTACAGACCACTCCTTGCCTAAATAGATTCAACTGGAAATGAGTTAAGCGGAGATGTCCCTGAACACACCTTCTCTTTCTCTATGGCCTTGCCCTTCAGACCTGTTCCCTAGAGGCTGCTACAATACAACAGGATGTGGAAGGTCTTGTCTGCCTCCAGGTCCTTCTTTAGACTCAAAGTAGGACATAGTGGAATGCACTTAGCTGGCAGAGCTGTTTGTCAGGTCCCCTAGTTCTCCTGGGAGCTGACTGTGTCTCACAGAGAAGAACTGAGGTAAAGCTGAAGGGTGGGGACAAGGGCCCCTGAAAGAAAGAGGCTAGAGCCAGCAAATTCAGAGTCCCAAAGGAAGCTAAGTGACAGGAACAATGGAAACAGGAATAGGAACAATGGCTTGTGACATTATCAATATTACCCTATGCTGAAGATCGAAGGACTTACAAAGCATATCCACTGCATATGAAAGTGTTCCCTTGCCCAGTTGAGCAGGGAACCTCAGAAGAGGCAGGCTTAGGGGAGAATCGGTGGGAACTGCAAGCTTGGGGAAGGAAGGTTTTTTGGCTGGAAGTATGTTGGGCTCTGACTCTCCTTACCTGGCTAATCCTTGTTCCGAAGCTCTCAGGGTAACCCGATGTGGAAGCTCATCATTGCTGGGGTGGTTGTGGCTATTCTGCTACTGCTCGGACTTGCCATACTTGTGGTCCTCTACCTGAGGAAAGCTCGAGGAAAAGCCCAGAACGGTGAGCCCATCCTGTTTGTTTTGTCAACAAGGAAACTGACCTGAAAGGCAAAGTGTCCAAGTGACTTCCTTGCCCATTACAAGGTGGCTGGCCTGGTGGCCTGGGAAGGGGTCAGGGGGCGTGGGCAGCATGGGGGTGATGACATACCAGCCCCACTCAGCCCTCAGGTTGGGTTATCTACAGGCACCTCAACTCCCCATCCATTTGCTTAAGACAAGGTGAGCTAGGATTTTGGATCATATACTTTTTTCATCTTAATATTTTTTATTGTTTTATTTATTGCGTATGGAGGTTTGGCTTGCACATATTTCTGGGCACCGTGTGTGTGTGTGTGTGTGTGTCTGTGTGTGCCTGATGCTTATCAGATCTCCTGGAACTAGAGTTATAGAGAGTTGTGAGCCACCTCGAGGGTGCTGAGAATCGAACCCGGGTTATCTTGAAGAACAACTTGGGCTCTTACCTACCGATCCACCTCTCCAGTCTTTCTGGTTAATGATACGTTGTTGAAATACATTGTTGCTATCATCTTTGAATTTTGTTTTTCTCAATATGGAGGAAGTTCAAAGAAGTATGTAGGTCAAAAAATACAAAGTAGCAAATATGTAAAATGAATGGCTCAAAGGGCAGAATGTACAGCATGAGGAGCATGGGTAAGAATACTAGGTCAGTAGGTCATACCCTATATTTTCGCCAAGTAGGTAGCTTGTAACTGCTCTTGCCAGATAGTTCTGTGGACAACAAGATTAAAACGTGAGAGCGGATCAGAATACCTCTGGAGCTTGTGAACATTATACTTTTCAAGCTTAAAAATCCTTAGAGAGGAGAAAATTTGAACATTCTATATCCTTATTTTCTAAATGTAGTGCAATCAGTTTAGTGGGTCACTGATGACGTTTTTTAGAAGACAAAATAGAAGCAGCAAAATGCCTGGACTCTGAACACAGATTCTCATTCCATATTCATCTTGGAGTATGTGTGAGTGAGAATCCAGGAGCGAGTGTGGGAGGGCGTGGTGGAGTGTGGGAGGGCGTGGCCATAGGAAATGCTGCGCTTCACACTGAGGCCTCGGGACACAGGAAACTAGAAATCCAACCTCTTACTACCTATAAGCCCACCAGTGAACAGATTATAGTTACATCTGATGTTTAAATCTGGAATCTACAAGGAGTGGCCTAAAATTGATCAGAAAGTTGAGCAAGTTTAAACACGGGCAGCCGGGCTATCTGGCTTCTTAGAATCCCTGGACACTACTCAGTGCTGGGTACTTGGGAGCTCCCTAGGCAGAAACTATCCTTTGGCCAAGTGTTGGCCTCTCTTCCATTGGGGTACCTCTGTCCAGCCTGTGGTTGCCATGGGAAATGGGTAAGGTTGTACATGGGAAGTCCTTCCACTAACCTTGCTGGTTTCCACACAGTTGAAAACAAATGTCACCCTATCTATGAAGACTTTTCAGGACAGAGAGAGGAGACCACTGTAAGTAAAAATGATTCTCTCCCAGGATTTAGGGACCTCTGGCTTTCTGGTGTACATCTGTTGTGAACTTTGGCCTGGATTTGGTTTCTATTTAAGTGGTGGGATACACTCATGACTGGTCATGTACTCGTGACCTGTTTATGTACTTCCTTTTTATGTATTTCTTCTCCTGTTTTCCCCAACTCAAACTTGAGAGAGAAAGAGAGAAGACAGAGAGAGACAAAAATGAGAGACAGAGATACAGAGACAGAGAGACAGAGATGAGAGAAAGATAAGAGAGACACAGAAAGACAGAGAGACAGATGAGAGAGACAGAGAGAAACATTGTCAGAGAGACAGAGAAGAGAGTGAGACAGAGAGAGACAGAGAAAGAGACAGAGAGACAGAGACAAGAAAGAGACAGGGGCAGAGAAAGACAGTAAGAGACAAAGATGAGAGAGAGACAGGGACAGAGATGAGAGAGAGACAGAGAAAGATACACAGAGACAGAGAAAGACAGAGATAGAGACAGAAAGACAAACAGAGACAGAGATGAGAGAGACAGAGACAGAATGACAGAGAAAGAGACAGAAACAGAGGAAGAGACAGAGAAAGACAGAGATGAGAAAGAGAGATTGCGGATCACTTCCATGGGAAACAGCTTTCCCTGTGTTTTAGGTCCCCAGTCAGACTACAGACGAGCTGCCATTCGACCAATCAGGAAAACATGATGAATCACGGTTCTCTGAGTCCTCCTGAGAATTAAGTGGTTTGGGTAGTTCTATCTCACCTATAGATGTCTAAAAATCCACAGAATTAGGAGGCTCCAAGGTCATCTAACCCAGCTCTGTGAATAATGCTAGAATCACCACGAAATGCATCCCCAACAAGTCCCATCTAACTCAGCCCTAGTCAAGCTTGAATGATTCCCCCAGAGAACAGTTCTTGAAGAGTAAGGTAGTATAGGCTGCTAATCCCAACCTTTATGAGGCTGAGTCAGGGTGCTTTCCAATTTCAAGCCAGCCTGGGCAACATAATGATGACCCAGTCTCAAAAACACAAGGCGGGGCTGCAGCTCAGTGGGAGAGTCTTGCCACACACAGGTACATGCAAGACCCTGCATTCCATCCTATTATTGAAAAATACGCAAATTAGTGATTCCTTAGTCCACGCCCACAGGGCCTTTGTGTTCATGGACCTGGAATGAGACCTGACAGCAGTTTGGAACTGGAGCCTGGAGAGGCCAGTGCTTCTCAGCTCAGTGACAGGGAAGGCAACTTTCCCAGTCATCCCTTCCCAGAGGCTCTACAGGCCCCTCATTACATCCCATATACTTTTAAATAAAAGCTTTATTTATTTTGTCTGTATGAATGTTTTGCCCACGTGTATGTATGTACACCAAGTGTCTGCAGTGCCTGAGGAGCCTAGAAAAGGGAATCAAATCTCCTGCAACTAGAGATGACACTCTCATATGGGTGCCAGGAGCCGAAGCCAGGTCCTCTGGAAGAGTAGCTAATGGGTTCAACCACCCAGAGGTCTCCAGAGCCCATGTTCAACATTTTAATTTCTGTCTGTGTCCCTCTCCCTGCACCCAGTTCTGGTCCCACACAGGCCACCGGCCACTCTAGCTGCTTTTCTTTCAATAAACATATGTTTTCTTTGATCTTCAGAGCTTCAATCAGCAGGGCCTCTCCAATGAGGACGCTGGAACCATATGCTATGCCTCTCTCATCCACCTAAACCACGTGAGGCCTCAGGACTCCATCTACACCAACACCCAGCCCTACCGGAAGCCCTCTCCCGACCCGCTTCTGTCTGTGGAATATGCCAGCATCTCTAGAAACAGACTCGGGTCTTCCAAGTCAGATGCCTGAGAGGTAGAGACCAGGGACTGAGGGCTGAGCTCCTAGGACGGTGAGCAGGTAGGCACAATGCTACTGTCCCCATGGAAGAGCAGTTTCCTACAGCTAAGATGGCCTCAGACACACTTTCTTCAAGGAAGATGACTGAAAGTGCAATGGAGAAGGATTCTGGACCCCTTGTTCTCTCCCTCCCTGGAGGTGTAGGACCAATGCTGCTAACACACAGTCTGTGTGGAAGAGAGCTGGGCCAGCCCCTCTGAGTGGCCCTAACCTCCCTTCCTTATGTGACCATCGCTTCCTTCCCCACTGGCTCTTGAAATCTAGGTGGATTGCATAAGTTCCTCAGGAACTCTAGGCAGAACTGCAAAGTTCTGCCCAAACCCCAACCCTTCCTCACACAGGCCTGGCTCCTGTTTCTAAAACCAACCTTCAAGGAGAACTCTGGTGACCTTGCCAGGACAAATACTAAGATGTAGGTGGTGCCCATCCCTGACCTGTCTTCTGAGGTCTTTCCAACCGTGACAAAAGTGGGAGCTTCCTTCCCATAGGCAGCCACACATCTCTGTCAGAATGCATCTTGGCTCCTTCTCCTAGAGGACTAGCATTCCCTCTGCTAACTGTGTCTACCTGTACATGCACGTAAGACCACATGTGCCTTCTGGGATCCTAGCACTGAAGATGTGGTTCCGTCCGGACACAGACTGCTCACCCCTGTGAGGCAGACACTCGGGGAGGTGGGTACAGGGAAGGAATGGGATGCTGTGTGTGTTGCCCCGTTCCTGAGGACTCTGCCTCACCCTGCCTACCCATGTCTTCTTCCTAAGACACAGATTTGCCTGGCAGACACAGGATGCTTACTACCTCCAGCCTCATATCCAACTCAGTGTCGCTCCTGGGTTGTCGGTCTCTGCTCATGGTTTCAGTTGACCTGTGGTCCTTCGTGGCTCCTAACAGCACCTTTGCTCTTGGGCCATATATTTCAGTCTACACCGTCTCCTGGAAGCCCACTTCTATTGTATGTTCTTTGGATTATACGTCTCCTTGCCTGTGGCTCATCCAGAGGGTTGGGCTTCTCATGAGCTGTCAAAACCCAAAACGTTTTCTCAGACTGGAGCTCTTGGAGCGGACTCGCCTTTATTCACTGGAACAGTAGCAATGGATACGTAGGACTCCCAGGGTCTACACTCAAGCTCGAGGACAAGAGAGATTGATTCTAGGATATAGTTGGGAGCGCTTATAATGTGCCCTGCGCCTCTATGTGGATGAAGAGCCCAAAGAGCCCTATTTATATGCATGTCTCCATTTTACAGATGGAGACATATTGAGGCACAGGGAGACTGGGTCTCCCAGGTAATAAACAGTAGATTGCAGATGGTGTCGGTTTTTTTCCATTGTGATTCTGGTTCCTGCTCCCTCAAGGATCTCCCTGTGTATGTGCTCAGGGAGATATCTGAAGGAACAGTGGAAATCAAGGCTTAGCTGTAGGGATGCACTAGAGCCAGACAGGACAGGGGAACGGGACCTGAGTGACAGAGGTCTCAGGATGCAACAGAGGACGATAGTGCAGCTTACACTGCTGAGACATTTGAGGTGAGCATTTCTAATTTATCAGCGGCTCCAGATTGAGCTGGTTCTACACACCTGCTACCACTGAAAGCCAGGAGGCTTTTCCAGAGCCTAGTCTCACCTCTTCTTACCTCAGGCCTCCGCAGCAAGCTAGCACCCTATCCCAGGGGTGTTTGAGGAGAAAAGAGGCATCTCATTTCCTGTTTCCGTGACAAAGCACTGTGACAAAAGGAACTTACATCAGCAAAGGGTGAGCTGCACTCATAGTCAGAGGATACATTCCACAATGGCTGGAAAGTCCCGGCAGCAGGAGGTGGAGGCAGCCCACCATGTTACATCTACAGTCTGTAAGCAGGCAGTGGTAATGGTGGGTGCTCAGCTTCCATTCTCCTATTCATTCATTCATTCATTCATTCATTCATTCGTGTATGTGTGTGTGTGTGTGTGTGTGTGTGTGTGTGTGTGTGCAGGTGCCACATGCATACATGTTCCCAAAGAGATCAGAAGAGGGTGTCAGGTTCCCTGGAGTTTCAGCTGGTCCTGAGCTTCTCCCATGACCTCCAACCTGGGTGCTGGAAACTGAGCTCAGATTTCTCGGGAACACCATACAGCACCCTTAACGTCGGAGCACCCTTAATCTCAGCAGGCCCCTCTCCTCAATATTTTTTAAATCATGCTTTGAAATTTTTAGGCATTTATAGTGCTTTCTACATATTTTTTTTTTCTTGGAGTCCAGGACCCAAACCCAGGGAATGGTTTGCCTACCTTCAGGGTGGGTCTTCCCACTTCCATTAACCTAAGCTAGATGATCACTCACAGGCCTGGCCAGAGGCTTGCCGCCTTGGTGATTCTAGATCCTGTATGGGCCCTCTAGAGGAGAGATACTTCTTAACTTTTTGAGCGGTTTTAGACCCATTCACATGTGTTTGTGTGTGAGCTGTTCCTGAGGGGCAGCCTTCACTTTCCCTCCCTCTTGCTCAGGGAACCCCAGGTGATGGCTAGAGATTGATTTCATTCATCACTAACCTCTTCTTTATGCCTCAGGGGTGTCTCAGGTCACCTCAGTGAGACACGCCCTTGTGTAATTCCCTGTGTCTTCCATGGCAGTAACAACAAAATAAAAACAACACCAAAGGCTGGAGTAGCAGCACGTGCCTTTCATCCCAGCACTCGAAAAGAAGGATCACTGTAGGTTCAAGGCCAGCTCTTCTTTAACCAAGTCAACCAGGGCTACATAGCTAGACCTCAGCTCAAAACGTCAGCAATAACAAAACCATAGCTAAAGATGAATTGGGAGAACAGGCTACGGGGAGACGAGATGGCCTTACCCTGCCAGAAGCCAAACTCACTCCCAAACTGTTAATGTTTACCACTGTGTTTGGAATGGGAAACTGGCTGAGGCTACGGAGCTCAGAACAGACGGTGGCACTTTGAGCTGTGTGGGAAGTGTGGGATTTGACGGAGGAGCAGACATTCCCAGTCAGGGGGAAAGGCTGACACAGCCATCTCTCCCATATGGGAAAAATAAAATAAAATTAGATTCCTACCTTATGTTTTACACAGAAATACATTCCAGATGGAGCAGAAGCTAAATATGAAGAGCTGAACAATAAAACTTTTAGAAAAAAATAAGTACTTATATGAGCCGGGGATAGTGGCACATACCTTTAATGCCAGCACTCAGGAGGCAGAGTCAGGTGGGCCTCTGGGAGTCTGAGGCCAGCCTGATCTACATAGAGCTCCAGGATAGCCAGGGCTACATAGTGAGAACCAGTCAAACTAGATAGATAGATAGATAGATAGATAGATAGATAGATAGATAGATAG